TAGTGATTTGTGGCAGTGTATACAGACACAAGGATACCCACAAGGCTACATGGGTGTCACCAGATGGGCGGACAAGAAACCAAACTGACTCCATCTCAATCTCAAGGAAGTGGAGGTGCAGCCCACTGGACACAAAAGTAAGAAGAGGAGCAGACGTTGGCTCAGACCACTATCTCATACAAGGGACAATCCAAATCAAATTAAAAGCTTTCAGGGAAACAGGAGCTGGAGACAGACCAAAAGCTAAGTTCAGCACTCAAAAACTGAAGGACCAAGCTACAAAGGACATCTTCATTGCAAGCATAAGGGACAAAGCCGGGACACAAATCAACACTAGCGAAGAGGTCGGCGTCCGAAAGCACTGGGACAACTTGAAAACGGTGTGGAGTCAAACCTGCATAGAAATTCTAGGCAGAAAAAAGAGACAGGACAAACAGTGGCTCACTACGGACACTTGGAAACTAATAGAAGAGAGAAGGATAGTGAAACAAAAGATTATCCAGTGCACTGACGAGCAACAAAAACAGGAGCTGAATGCAAGCTACAATACACTGAACAAAAGAGTGAAGAGGAGTGCCAGGGAAGACAAAAGAAAGTATTATGAAACCATGGCAAACGAAGCAGAACAAGCTGCAGGCAAAGGATACCTCGCCACACTCTACCAAACAACTAGGCACCTATCGGGCAAAAGTTCAACACAGATTAAGCCAGTAAAGGATGACAATTGAAAGTCAATCACCAAAGAGGTGGAGCAAAGAAAATACTGGGCTGAACACTTCAAAAGACTTCTAAATCGACCGCCACCTACAACGCGCCCAACAATACCAACAACGGAAGCAGAACTACCAGTGAACATCAACCCCCCGACGAAATCAGAAGTCCTGAATGCAATCAAGATGCTAAAAGCTGGGGAAGCAGCAGGACCAGATGGAATCGCAGCAGAAGCATTGAAAATGGACCCAGAGACAACACCGGACTTGATGACGCCGTTACTGGAGAAGGTGTGGAAAGAGGGCAAAGTACCCGAGGATTGGAAGAACGGATACTTATTCAAACTACCAAAGAAAGGAGACTTAAGTCAATGCAAAAACTGGCGTGGAATTATTCTCCATCCCAAGCAAAATACTAAGCCGCATCATCCTGGGGAGAATCAAACACGCCAACCTGGATGAAAAACTTCGACTGGAACAAGCTGGATTCAGGAGAAACAAATCATGCATCGATCAAATCACCACTCTACGGATCATCATTGAACAAAGCTTGGAATGGCCGTCAGTCACCTCTCTATCTCAACTTCATCGACTTTGAAAAGGCCTTCGACAGACAGCGCCGATCGAGAGGTGATTTGGCAACTACTTCGCTACTACTGTGGGGTGCCATCGACAATTATACATCTCATCCAACAATTGTACGACAATGCTGCATGCCAAGTAATCCACAACGGGAAACTTACGGAAGTCTTCGAAGTGAGGACGGAAGTGAGACAAAGCTGCCTACTATCACCAATGATCTTCCTGATTGCAGTAGATCGGATAATGCGACAGACAGCGAAGAAACAGGAGTAAAGTGGACTCACACAAAAAACTTGGGGGATCTGGACTTCGCCGATAACATGTATATGTCTGATTTCCCACAAACTGGAAGATATGCAAGTCAAAAGCGACAAACTGGCAGAAGAAGCCTCCAGAGAAGATAGGAATTCAGGTGAACATAGAGAAAACAGAGGTGATGAAAATTCCTGGCCAACACCAATAGCAACAACAACGACAGACAACAATCAGCAGGCATAAATGGGAGGAACCTGAAAGAAACAACCTCCTTCCCCTACCCACCTACCTGGGAAGCATCGTTTCAACTACAGGCGGACGGAAGTGACAAGGATATCAAAGCCAGAATCGGAAAAGCAAGACAAGCTTTCATTACTCTTAAGTCTGTGCAGGTCAACAGTACTCAGCATGAAAATGAAAATAAGATCCGGATTTTCAACTCCAATGTGAAGTCAGTGCTACTTACTATACGGATGAGAGACTTGGCGCGTCATAAAGAGCAGCCCAAACAAACTACAGACCTTCATCAACAGTTGTCTTCGCTCAATACTCAAGATCGGGCGGCCGGCCAGAAAAGATCAGCAACAGGGAGGGATCTCTGGGAGCAAAGCAACCAGGAACCGATTGTGTAACAAATCTGCAGGAAGAAATGGAGATGGATTGGCCATACTGTGAGGAAACCAACAAGTGACATCACTAGACAAGCCATCGCTCGAGTGAAACCCGGATGGGAAGCGGCGATTTGATCGTCAGTGCAAGGGTGACTTGGAGGAGGTCATGTGAAGAGATGAAAACATGTGGGCAGACTTGGAGCCAGGTGAAAACGTTGGCAGAGAACCGAACGCAATAGAAACGCGCAGCTGAAGCCCTATGTTCCTCTAGGAATTAAACGATATAATAATAATAATTCAAAAAAGTTAACCAATGTTAATAATTTAGGTAGCTAAGTATGTTTAAGAAGGTGTTCACTATAGAATACAAATAAGAGAGAAATAAAACAGCCTAAAATTATGTTATTAACAACAAAGCAAGTCATAGGTTTCGCGCTTAACATTGTCTCTGTCACTTAGAACACGGGCCAAATATGGTAAGCTTTGAGGTGGTACTCTTACGAGGTGTGATTACTAGCCTCATATACCCAATCTTTCCTCTTTTCTAGGCTTACCACTGACTGACTAGTCGAGGTTATTTAGGAGTGAGTGTATCGACCTGGAAGGGAACCCTGTAACAATGTGCTTAGCATTCTACTACTGAACCACTCACTGAGTTAAGAGGAAACTTGCAATATTCATGTTTTAGTCAGGCCATCATTTCTTCACTGTATCAATAAAACAAAACCTCTTAATTGATCTTTTATTTACTCTTCGTCAAATGCCATGCTTCCCAGCATCACTAGTGTTAATAATAGGCCATTTCCAGGTTTTAACACAAGTGATGTTCAAAAATGCCTCAAGTCTCTAAACCCTTCCCAGAGCTTAGGTCCAGATTATGTACCTAGTATTATTTTTTTTAATGTTCTGATATTCTGTGTCACCGTCTAACTGATCTATTTAACAAATCTTTTTCCAGTAATATTGCACCTGCCGTTTGGAAGGACAATAAAGTTGTACCTATACCTAAATCATCTACTGGAGCATGTGTCAAATTTAGACCCATTGCTATTACCTCTCCTTTTTTGAAAACTATGGAGAAATTACTTTTACTTAGTCTTGTACCTTCGCTTAAATCCTTTAATGACCCTAAACAATTTGCCTATAAGCACAGTAGAAGCACTTTAGATGCAGCTGCGGTCTTGTATCATTACATTGCTTCCGGTCTGGACAAGGGGGCTAAATTCTTTCGTTGTGCCTTCCTAGACTATACATCTGCTTTTGACTCGGTCCCTAGGGACATCTTATTAAATAAACTTGCTGCTAGTCAAACAGAATGTTGGGCTGTTAACTGGTTACATTTCTATTTCTCAGAAAGTAAACAGTACACCACTTCATTGTCTACTGAAGCTGGTGTCCCTCAAGGCGCTGTCCTTTCTTCTTACAAGACTTGCCTCACTCAGATGAAATCAACTTTGTGGTGTACGCTGATGATTTAACAGTTTCAACGGTTGTTAACTTTCAGCTAGATTGTACCACAATAAATAGCTTTCTGTCGGGAGTCAGTAAATGGTCTCAGTCTAACGGTCTTAAACTGAATCCTTCTAAATGTCAAACCGTTAATTTCAGCTTAAGATGTAAAAGACAGTTAAAAGAAGTCATCGATTCTCATGACATTTGTAAGATTGACGACAATGATATAGGAATCAAATCAGAAATTAGGTATCTTGGACTTATTCTCTCTTCTGATCTCTCCCGGTCTTCCCATGTCATAACGATCTCCAGTAAAATATCCCGCCTGACATTTTACACTAAGTAGTTAAGGCACTCAGGTATAAATCAACTCCTCCTCTTACAATTCATAAACTCTTGCATCCTACCTACCCTTCTTTATTGTTGACCCTTATTCTTTCCTGGTTTGCTTAAAAAGGACTGTGTCACAATTCGTAGAGTGCTGAAGACGGTCAGTAGGGTGAGTGGTGTCCCAGTGGACCACATAGTTAACATCGTTGTCGATAGGCACTTGACTTCGTGCAATAAATTTGCTAAAGGGATTTTGTCTGACTTGGAGCATCCACTTTACCCTCAGCTTTCACCTTGCATCTCCTCAAGTAGAACAAGGAGTAACTTCAGAAAACTGTATGCTCGCACGTATAAGTATGAGAATTCTATGATACCATACTTGGCACGTATTTTATGTGATGAAAATAGTGTCAGGCAAGAATTAACTAACCTTTTTTCATCTAGTAAGTAAACAATTTCCTCCATCCATCCTTATATACCTTCAAGTTTTACTTTTATTATTTCTATTATATTTATGGTCCTGTTGCTTCTTTGTTTTACTCTCTCTCGCATAATTGCAAAGACTAATTTATCTCTATGACTGCTGTAATCTTTGTTTTTCCCCTCACCATATCATGTAAAGAGAACATTATATTCAATAATTTTACACATGCTAGGATTTCTATACCGCATCGATAATACTGTGTGAAACAAGCCCACGGTAATTTTCACTTGTATTATATTACCTCAGCTGTTATCATTGTTATTATTTCCATTTTATATGCTGCATGTTTGTGACATTACCCTTATTGTAAATGTGGAAAATTTTCTGTGTGATTAATTTTTATTCATAATCTGAGGCAATTAGATGCAATATTGTGATTAGTGCTGAAAACTCCATTCTCTGTCACAAGTACTGTTTTTGGAATAAAGTAAATTATTATTATTATTATTATTACTATTATTATTATTATTAAATGGAAAGGAGCAGTACAGCACACCATCTGAATGTAAATTATGAAAAACAATAATGAATTGTGCTTAAATTTACATTCCTTCTTTTTACTATTCTACTTTTCAGTATAATATCACACAGTAAAGATTTTCAAGAAATTGATTTATTCGGTAATGATATTGGTGATCTTGCAGCTAGACAAATTTTAGAAGGTATACTGTTTCGAAAAGATGCTAAACTACCACAAATCGGTGTACGTATTGATTATCGTATTAATCAGGATACATTTGATATGGTGCATAGATTAGCACCTGGTCCAAAGAAGAAAAAGGGTAAAGGGAAGAAAGGTAAATAAGTGTGATTAAAATATCACAGTAAGAAATATCTGTGAAAAGATAAGCACTGGTTGTGTTTACTCCACGGAATGTTTTTGCATTTAACTAAATATACTTACAATAATATTGTAATTATTGACAAATGTAAACATATTAAGCATGTATGTTTTCATATATACATATATAATTCTAAAACTCAAATGCTGTGTAATAATAAACCAGATTTATTTTGTGATTTCAACTTTTGGGGGTTTTTTTAATTGCGCGTGCTCACATGTGGTTATGCACTTTTGAAATCTATAGATTTAGCTACACACAGTATGATATTTTCGGTAATGTACTCTTAATGTGAAAGTCTAAACCAACAAAAGCTTAATCCTAAAAGCAGATTACTCGGTGAATTTAAACAGATTGATGCAGTTGTCTTCCCTCAGCTGAATGGTTTATTGGTAAAACTTTCATTGCCTTTTTAGATATTGTCTTCAGAGAATTTCTACTTACAGTCAGCATTTCGAATTTTCGGCGAATGATATTGCAAAGCTTTACTACTCTACCACAGTACCTAGGTTTTATTCTTATATCAATATTCGATGTCTAGTATCGTTTTTACGAGCTAGTGTAAACCAATTTGATTTATTTATGCTCTCTTCTTGATTGAGTCATGAAGAAAATAAGACAGGTTCAGTGAAGAAAATTTTCTTTATCGACGAAATCATCTTCAGAGGATGTACAGTTGTAATTATACTTACAATATATATATATATATATATATATATATATATATATATATATATATATATATATATATATATATATATATATATATATATATATATATATATATATATATATATATAAAGTGGATTATTATTGAGTAACAAGGGTAGGGGGTGACATAATTGATATAATTACTCAGAAGTGGCTTTAGAAGTGAAAATTAAAAGTTGTAAATTACATGGTACTCAACGGCACAAAGTAAGAAATTCGATAAGGTTACACAATTGCTATTGAGTGAGAATAAAGGCAGTTGAATATCAATTAAACAAGCGTGAATAGGGTATGAAAATGTAAAAAAGGAACATATGAGAGTGATAATACTGAATTAATTATTGATAGGATCCCACGCACTTTGCTATTGATCAATTATTTCAACGGCTGTTAATCTCGCATAAATGGTATATCATCATTTCCCACGCACTTTGTTATTCATTATTACGATCAATTATTTCAAATGCTGTTAGCTGTCTGTTTTGTTGTAAAAATATATAAATACCATGTGTTGTTTTCCTAAATAAGTTCTTCGTCGTAGTTGTTGTACTACAATATACAATCACAGGCCAGTCTTTGTCTTTTGATATTTGCGTGCTTCACTGAATCGGAAGGTACCACAAGCAGATAGGCAGATTAGTCAGGCGCAGACAGAACAAGGCGACAACGTCCTCATTTAATTCCCTACAGTTATAACAAATTGGCGACGGGGTTTACCTTAATTCATTGCAGTTATAACAAGCAAGCGACGACGGGTTTTATTCTGTTCAGCGCAGCTATAGAACATTTTTGACTGTGTTAATTACAACCCAATTACAATGTCTATCTCTCTGGACGATCTCAAATCTATCTTGCAGCAGCAGCAAGTTCAGAATGAAGCAGCTCAACTAAAATTAATCGAAGCTCTCACTCAGAAGCTGTCCATTCAAGTTCCATCAACATCTCATTCAGACAAATATGAAAGCATCTCAAATTCCATCAGTGAGTTCAACTACGACCCAATATCTGGTCTCGTATTTGATGCATGGTTCAATCGTTACGAAGACGTTTTCCGTATTGAATGCTACATGTTTGATGATGCTGCCAAAGTCCGATTGTTACTAAGAAAACTTGGTACTGTTGAGCACAACAGATATGTTAACTTCATTCTGCCCAAGAACCCACGTGAGTTATCATTCGATGAGACAGTCACCGTTTTATCACAAATCTTTGGTGAACAGTCATCCATGTTTAATATTCGGTATCAATGTTTTCAGTTGACAAAAATGCCTTCCGATGATTATGTCACTTACGCTGGCAAAGTGAACAAGGAATGCGAAAGGTTCAAACCACACGAAATGACATCAGATCAGTTCAAGTGTTTGATTTTTATTTGTGGGTTGAAGAACCCAGAAGATACTGACATAAGAACTCGACTTCTGTCACTCGTGGAACAAGACCCGAAAATGACTTTACAAATGGTGACAGCAGAATGCCAACGCTTAATCAACTTGAAGCACGATACTGCTATGGTGGAGTGCAAACGACAGTCGTCTGAATTTGGTTCAATTAACACAGTGAAAAGTCCTCCGATCACCGTTAAGCACACAGCACGTCAGTCTCAGAATTCAGCTAAACCTCCTTCAGTGTGCTGGCACTGTGGTTCGTGGCATTTTGTCAAGCTCTGTCCTTTCAAGAAACATAAATGCCGTAATTGTCACCGTTTTGGACATAAAGAGGGTTACTGTCCACCGCAGAAAAATTCTTCGGTGAGGAACAGAAGTAGTCGTTTCAAGCCGAAACAATCTCCTCGAGTACAGACCATTTTCACAACTTCCAAAGTCGATTTCGCCAGCAAACGTAAGTACATTACACTAGGTATTAACGGCAAACATATTCGTCTTCAGTTGGATACGGCATCAGATATCACCTTAATTTCCCGAACTACGTGGCGCAAACTTGGGTGCCCACAGATTCTGCCGACCGAGCATGTCGCTAAGAATGCCTCTGGAGATATACTGAAACTCGTGGGTGAGATAAATTGCCAGGTTCAGTTTGGTGAGCATCAGTTCAATGGTGTATGTTACGTCACAAACTACCATGATTTGAATTTGCTTGGTCTTGACTGGTTAGACAAGCTCCATATCTTCAATGTACCATTAAATTCAGTATGCTCTAATGTTTCGTCCTCACCACACAACGTTGTTCCCGGACATGTATCTGATCAGTCTCTCTTGCAACGCCTGCGTCAAAAGCACGCTTCTGTCTTCCAGGACAAACTTGGTTGCTGCAAATTTACCCAAGTTGTTTTGTCTCTAAAGCCAAACGCGAAGCCAGTTTTTCGTCCAAAACGTCCAGTTCCGTATGCTGCTGTCACATTGGTTGAGAATGAACTCGACAGACTGGAAGCATTGGGTGTCATCAAACCAGTAACGTATTCGCCCTGGGCTGCCCCTATAGTTGTTGTACGCAAAGCAAATGGTTCCATTCGCCTGTGTGCAGATTTCTCAACTGGGTTAAATGATGCTCTAGAGGATCATGCTTATCCATTACCAATTCAAGAAGACTTATTCGTCAAACTTAATGGTGGTAAATGTTTTGCAAAAATTGACCTTGCTGATGCTTACCTTCAAATAGAAGTTGAACCAAAGTCTCGAGAGTTGCTAACAATCAACACTCATAGGGTCTCTACCAGTTTACTCGCTTACCATTTGGTGTGAAACCAGCACCCGCAATTTTTCAGCAGATCATGGATACTATGCTTGCTAACCAACCTGGTGTTGCTGTCTACCTCGACGATGTGATAATCACAGGGAGTAGTAAGTCTGAATTGTTTGATCGACTTGACGCTGTGCTATCCAAAATGTCAGAGTTTGGGTTCTACCTTAAAGAGGATAAATGTACATTTTTCATGGATTCAGTAAAGTATCTTGGGTTCATTTTTGATGAACATGGACGTCGACCAGACCCAGAAAATGTACGTGCTATTCAGAATATGCCCGCTCCCACTAATGTTGCCACTCTGCGATCTTTCCTTGGCCTCATCAGCTATTACAGTGCATTTCTACCAGAGCTTCATCGCATACGTGCTCCACTGAATCGCCTGTTATCGAAAAATGCAAAATGGAATTGGTCACCTGAATGTCAAAATGCATTTAAAAAAGTAAAATCGTTACTCCAGTCAGACATGCTGCTTACTTATTATGATCCAAGTCTTGAAATCATCCTTGCTGCAGATGCATCCGACTATGGTATTGGTGCTGTTATATCTCATCGTTTTCCTGACGGAAGGGAGAAAGCTATTGCACATGCATCTAGAACACTGAATACAACCGAACGCAAATATAGCCAAATTGAGAAAGAAGGTTTGGCGCTTATCTTCGCAGTCAAAAAGTTTCACAAAATGCTTCATGGTAGGAAATTCACTCTATTTACTGACCATAAACCCCTGTTGTCGATATTTGGTTCGAAAAAGGGCATTCCAGTGTACACTGCGAATCGGCTTCAAAGGTGGGCTGTCATGTTACTGGGATATAATTTTGATATCAAATACAAACCTACCTCTGAATTTGGCCAGGTAGATGCATTATCACGGCTGCTAAGCCATCAGAAGTTGGAAAGCGAGGATGTTGTTATTGCATCCATCTTTGTTGAAGATGATGTAAACAGAGTTCTGGTAGGCGCGACTCAACTTCTTCCGGTGACTGCAGTTGAGGTTGCCAGCCACGCACTGCGTGATCCAGTTTTACAGCAAGTATCAAAGTTCATCCGATTTGGCTGGCCTCCACATGTTCATTCAAATGTTTTAAAACAGTTTTACCAGCGACGCCAATCCTTATCCATCGTTAATGAATGCATAATGTTTGCTGATCGTGTTGTGGTTCCAGCTAATCTTCGTAACCATGTGCTTCGTCAGCTTCATACATCACATCCTGGTGTTGGGAGAATGAAGGCGATCGCTCGCAGTTAAATTTACTAGCCCAACATCGATGACCATATCGAAGACCTCGTTCGCAAATGTAGTAAATGTGCTCAAGCATCAAAGTGCCCACGCAAGACAGAACTATGTTCCTGGCCACGACCGGACAAACAATGGTCCCGTGTTCATGTTGACTTCGCTGGACCGTTCAATAGTATGCATTTCTTAATATGTGCCGACGCGTTTTCCAAATGGCCAGAGATATTTCCTATGCATTCTGCCACATCAATTGCAACAGTGTCCCACCTACGTCAACTATTCTGTCGTTTTGGTATGCCTGATGTTCTGGTGTCTGATAATGGATCGCAGTTCACCTCATCACTGTTCTCAGATTTCTGCAAACTGTTTGGCATCCAGCATATTCGTAGCCCCCCGTATCATCCCCAATCGAATGGACAGGCTGAACGTTTCGTCGACACCTTTAAGCGTGCTTATGCAAAAGCGAAGGGGGAGGGAACAACAGAAAAAATTTTGGATAGATTCTTGCTGCATTATCGTACGACGCCAAATCCTTCCGCCCCAAATCAGTTATCCCCAGCGGAAATTATGTTTGGCCGGAAGATCACAACTGCCCTCGACTCAATTAAGCCTAGGCAAGTAAAGCAGGGCTGCAGAAATACAAAAATGGAAAACCAATTCAATCGCCATCACGGAGCTAAACGTCGAGTTTTCAAATTGTATCAGCAAGTTTATGTACGAGATTTTCGCTATTCACCTCCGAGATGGATTCGAGGACAAATATTGGGGCAGAAAGGAAGGGTTTTATACAAAGTGAATGTAGAAGGACAGTTATGTGGCAGACACACGAATCATATACGAGATATGTCAGATAGACTCAACAATGGGAGACGAGACCTCACGTTAGAAGTATTAGTAGATACATTTAATCTTCCGCAGCCGGAAGCCCGGGACACAGATCACACTCTATCCAGTATCACGCGAAGGTCAACTCGACAAAGGAGAGCTCCGAAACCTTTTCAAATAGATCCAAAAAGCAAGTCCTACGTTTTTTACGGGGAGAGGCGATAGGATCCCACGCACTTTGCTATTGATCAATTATTTCAACGGCTGTTAATCTCGCATAAATGGTATATCATCATTTCCCACGCACTTTGTTATTCATTATTACGATCAATTATTTCAAATGCTGTTAGCTGTCTGTTTTGTTGTAAAAATATATAAATACCATGTGTTGTTTTCCTAAATAAGTTCTTCGTCGTAGTTGTTGTACTACAATATACAATCACAGGCCAGTCTTTGTCTTTTGATATTTGCGTGCTTCACTGAATCGGAAGGTACCACAAGCAGATAGGCAGACTAGTCAGGCGCAGACAGAACAAGGCGACAACGTCCTCATTTAATTCTCTACCGTTATAGCAATTATCAAAGCAAAAGCAAACTAAAAGTTACAAGAACAAATTAGTTCAGCGAAGAGTACCTTTTCGGCGAATTCATTCTCTTAGCTGTATAGTCGCAAATATATACAATTAATTTTGTGTGTGTGTGTACATAAGGTTTGTCAAAATCAAAATAACAGTTAGTCTGGGTTGTTGATTACATCATCAAAATAATAAAGAAATTAAATTGTGTGAATATTATTCAAAGTTGTAACTAAGTGGGGTGAAAACTGGTAAGATGTGAGTACGGTTACATAATGTAGACATCTGTAGAAAGATTAGATGTTCGTGAAGGAGAATGGAGACAATTATGAAAATAAACTAGATAATAGGTGAGAAGATTGAATGGGTTAGTTACTAAAAATTATTATACGAATATTGCAAAAAAAATTTGATAACAACAATACCACCCTCAATAGTACAAGTGGCAATAGTCAGAACTCGGCTACCACAACAACTCAGGGTCTTCAGAGTATGGCATACAAACAAATTTTGATCGGATATATGGAAGTAACGCATTAGATGTGCAGGGATGTGTGCTATCTGTGGCGACGTACACGTTCTTAGTGAGTGTGCTCGTTTCCTTCAAATGTCTCCGAAGAAAGTTACAAATTGTGAAAAGGAAACGGTTATGCTTCTGCTGCTTTTAAAGAACGGGCATACAAGGCTTACCCGTAAGACAGCTGAGAATGGTGGTAGTGGTACATTAGGACAACGTCCACTGTTGACCGTATCGAAGAATCAAGGGAGCTCTACTACTTGTAATAGCAGCTTTGCGCCGCACGACTTCCAGAAAGTCTATTTAGGTTTTGTACCGGTAAGAGTAAGAGAACCAAGGTCATGTGTCGATACATATGCGTTGCTAGATAATGATTCTGACATAACATTGATAGATGATGAGCTGGCCAGCTGCTTGAGTGAAGTATCGTTGGATACTTTCTATTTCTACTCTCGCCGACCATGCACATGGTCCAGGGTTCGAGCCCGCGCCGACGCACACCTGATATCTATGATTGGCCTGCGAAATTTGGGCTACCGATATCCACGCTGAAAATTCCACACTTGTACCAAAAATACAGTGTGGAGTCAAGCTGTTATCGAAAATAAAAATAAAAAAAATAAATATTTTAAGCCTGTCACATATGCAAGTGCTGCTGAGAATGAATGGACAATATTCTAGCAGTGGTCTTACACATGTTTTGTATAAGTTTCGCTTCGTAGTTGTGGGAATTCCTGAGAGCATCCTCGATTCAGGCGTCTGCGTTCCCACTTGCTCAGAAAATGTCAGGTCAGTAGAGTACCTGAGTCCTAGGTCAACAACACTTTGGAGTTTAGGCAAGTCAATAGATTCAAGTTCCAGTTTGATATTTATTGAGGGTGCACCGAAACAGTTCCAACCACATATGTTAAGGTTGAATTTTACGTTCCATGTGGAGGACCATGCAGTTACTCTGTCTAGTTCTTTCTGAACAGCATTCTGAAAGTATCCTAAGCCAGCACAGTGGAACGTGTAAGCTACTTTAAGATCATCTGCGAAGATGGACTGTTCACCAAGCGAGAAACAACTGCATATGTCGTTGACATCTAGAGTGAATAGGAGGGCGCCTAAGACGCTACACCAGGTGTGAATGGACTAGGTTTAGAGTTTACAGACCCCAGTCCAACTACTTGGGATCTATTGTTAGGGAATGATTCAAGCCATCCTAATAATGGGTTACATATTCCTAAGGAGTTCAGCTTATTTATTAGAAGCAAATGGTCAACGCGGTCGAAGGCTTTGGAGATGTCAAAGTAGATGATGACTAGTATTAGTTATTGTCTGCCTCGGCTACTGATTATATAGTTAAAGAAGTCAAGGTGACAGGTCATGCATGGTCTGGATTTTAGGAATCCATGTTGATTGGGACTTACAGTACTGCAGCTGAGCGTACTTTTGAGAATATCACCCCTAACTATTCCTTCCATAATTCCAGATGCTATGGGTGTAATATTGGTTGGCCTATAGTAGTTGACTTCAGTTTTCGATCCGCATTTGTGTTTGGATATTATAAATGTGGTTTTCCATTTGTCTGCATAGGTTTTGCTATCTAGCAACATTGTAAAGATCTTTAGTAATAATAATAAGATGTCAGAACCACTGTGTTTATAAAAATACGATGGTATACCGTCAATACCAGCACTACTAGAGCTTTTAAGACTAAGCCATTAATGGTTTGGTTAATATTAGAATAAGTGAAATGAACTGTACTGATATGTTTCAGCGCTGAAGAAGAAGGGAGTTCCATTGTAGATTGTAAACCGAGAAGTG